CACTAGCAAGCAATGCAGCAACACTTACACTTTATGGTATACATTCTATTGTCCTAATATTCCAAAACGTGTGCTGTTTGTTTGTTTAGGTCCACCAGATCCAGTGTTTGGTTTCAATTCTTCTATCTCTGGCATTCACTCTTTTAATCTCTCATGGATTCCAATTTCCTTCTCCTTTCCATTCAACTACTCTATCTCGATTAGACCCACTGCCAGTAAAGCTACTATTGAGAATGTTCTCCTAAATCAGAATATGACGAGTTACATTTACAAGGGCAACACAAGTCTTGAGTGTGAAGAGTACAACTTTACTATAAGGACAGTCAATGGAGCTGGCAGCAGTAATGAGTCAGGAGTTCTCACATTAACACTACCTGATGGTGAGTCTACATGTATATATGATGTAGTCTGTTATTAGTTTATAGATGATTCAATGTGTCATATATGAAGTTCATTTCTCTCTCCTTCTCACAGTTCCTAGTACTACAACTATTAATAGTTCATTGGTCTCTTTTGACTCTAATGCCACTCCATTAATAACACTCACCTTCAATGTAATTGAATTGTCTTAATAATAAGTAAAATCTACTCTCTCCTCCAGGCTCCTATAACATGCACTGTTTATCCAGTCATTTTCTATTCTCTTATGCTAAGAGTTCAATATTCTTCTAATAATATTTCGTTGATGATTCCAGTTGAAAACACCCAATTACATGATAGTAAAGGCATTATCTCTTTCAGTAATGGTAGTATAGAGTATGATGAAGATTATATGGTATCTATTGCTGCTGTGAATGATGTTGGTGTTTCAGAGGCTAGCCCAGAAAGGAGAATAAGTTAGTCTATATGCATGGAATAACTTGTTGCATGTGTACTGATACAACAACAGATATTGTTTAGTCTAGAGTAAGTTTCATTGAATAAATTATCAAATGAATAACAGATTGTCCCCTTTCAAAAAAAAAACATCTACTGCATTACTCAGTGATGTGGAGGTATATGCCTTGATCACTTGTGTATTTAAATTCAATAATCAATTCTCTTGCTACTATTAAAGCTCATTTCTCTAAATTTCTCCATTAGTTACATCAAGTCTTCAAAGCATTAGTGCTTCACTCCATGGCTATCAACTGAGAATTATTTGTCATTTTGCTAATGGCAGGCTATCGACTGGTTGCTTTGTAATTGTTGCTCTAGTGAATGAAACAGAATTAATCAGTGAGAGTATTATTCGACCTCAACTTGATTCCTTAACCTCAAACACAACCATTACATTGACCATGGATCATCTTCATCTCCCATTGGTTGTTATTGGAAGTGATTACAACAATCCTGCAGATATTGGGCTCGTTAGAATTACAGCAACTCCTTTATTAATCAGTGGTCCTGCAGATCCAAATGACACTGTTATCCCTAATACTCCTACATCTATCATTACTACATCAGTTACTCCTAGCATATCAACTGCTACTGGTTCTATCATTAATACTCCTACCACTACACCTCAAACTTCAGGTTAATGTTATTGTTTTTATTTTTCAGTTTATTTTCTGTTTATAATTATAGGATTATCAGGTGGGGCTATTGCTGGTATAGCAATCAGTATATTTATATTACTGATACTAGTTATAATACTTATCATTACTGTTCTACAATGTCTTTACTTCAAAAAAAGTATGTAGTAAGTATTTATATTTATATTACTCGTTTTGATTCAGAAAATAAAAAATCTGCTCATGAAAAAGAAATGACAGTTTTAGGTAATATATCATCAATTCCTTCAGTACCTAATGAAGCATATGCAGCAGTTGATTCAATTGTTAATGTACAAGAGAATGTGGCATATTCTTTACCTGCAGGACACACCATTACTGCAGCTAGTCCTCCTACTGGATCATCAACTGCTCCGACTGCTGACTATTAATTTTTAAATCATTGAGTAAATGGGAGAAAGTTTGCAATTTTACACAATTCTTGAGCAAGCGCCTCAATTGCAAGAACAATTATATTAAAATAATGTTAACTAATTTACGATAACAATAGTAACAAAATGGTAATTGGTAATTACCATTTTTACACCCAGCCCACACTCACATTCACCATACCTTAGAGCCAGCCTCCTACATTTCCTGCAATGTTATCTTCTTTTCTTGTTGATCATGTACCATCTGTTTTAGCTTCTGATTAGCTATAGTGTGTTCTTTTGTTCTAGCTCGTTCTTCATTATTGAGAGTCTAGCTTGTAATTCTTCCATTTGTTTCAGTCTCTCTCCCGTAGAAATATACAATAAATATACCACTAGATCTACTACATGCACATATATATCACGTACATGTATATTCTTTATAGTCTCCTGCAGTTAATCCTCCTTACTAATGTTAACTGTATGATTAAATCTCTGATGATAGTTTTACTTTAAGGACACAAACTAATTTTAAAAATGTCAATGATACAAAAAATAGGAACATAACATAGCAAAGAAAAATAAAATCACCAATAACATCAATACTCTTTCCACGTGCTGAAAGTGTTGCTGATTCAGATTTTCTATTAGTTTACAAAAAGTAGTAACCATGTGTTCATCATATGAAGCTTCATGTCCTTTGGCTTTCGCTCCTTTCTCTCTTTTTCGAAGACCATTATCTTCCTTAACAGCAGTTGTCTTATTGATACTATGAATGTATGCATCATTTATTCCGTGTGCATTTAATTGCTGAGTCCCTTCAACTTCCTCTTCTCTCTCCTCATGGTTGTTGGTATTATTGGTAATGTTAACCTCATTTGATGAGGTTTGCTGCTGCTCAGGCCTAGAATGCATTACGGAAGTAGAAATGGAACTATGGGTAGAGAGAGAATCGTCGTCATGAGGTACGGTTTGATTTGAAACTAGAGCGGGAAAGGGCATAACGGGTGTTTCTTCATGGCTTTCATTATGACTTTCGTCATGATGACCATTAGTGGTACAAGAACCACTCATGTCATATTTAAAGAAGATTTTTTGTTTGGGATCACTGTTTACTTGGCCACTCCATGATGGTAATGTGCCTGTAGAAAGATTTCTTTCCCAGCGGTTTGGATCATTTAGCAGAGGAGTGTTATGCTGCAATGATGGAGGTGATATGCTTGGTACTAAAGGTGTAGGTTGTTGGGGTGGAGCAGGTTTTGTAAGTCTGAATTCTATTCTTGCTCGTTTTTGAATCTTCTCTTCCCATCTCTTACGCAGTTCTTCTGCAATATCAGGCTTCTTTAACATCTCAAGTACTTCCAGGAATTTCAAACAGTGCTCCCGCAACTGGTAAACCTCATCGAATCGTTCTATACAGTTTTTATAGTCTTCCAAAATGGCGTCGAAGTCAACATTTCGAGCGACATTTTCACCCGGTATAAGAGCCTTTTGACACAACAAACGATAAAATGAAGGAAGTACAGGTGAGACTGCTTCTTGAAGCTCTTTGCTAGACTCTCCCAAAACGTTTTCGAACATTCTCTTTGCTGCTGTAAGTGATACATTGACTCCCTGCATGTTTGCTATAATTAGTCACTAAGGAATGAATGAATTAAACGACCTGTGCTTCGCTAATAATGATGTAATAATTATGTAAAGGTGGGGCTTGGGTTAGTTAGTAGTAATTAATGGTAAATTAAAATAATAATAAATCAGTTATGTTATTGATTTCTTGATAGGCCTAAAGAATTAGAATGATTGTACCACAGACAGAATAAACGAGACCCACCTAAATACCCCGACCACAACCGCATGATCACGCTCATAAGGCTCTAATGTGATTTGCTCTTTAGGCCTTAGATTGTCAGCCTGCAACTTCTTCACTTCCCCAGCAAACACCTTAGTAGGTTCAGCAGTACTGTCTATACAATTGGCCTATATAAACAACTGAGTAATTTAAACTAGCAGAGCAGCTGCAGGTATACTGCCTGTAATTTGAAATATTTAAGTTTTCTTCATTACCTTAATGGAGATGACAAAGTGTCCCTGGTTCTTTAAAAAGTGAAGAGCGTTGATACCGACTATCCTAGCCTGATCGGGCTGAGCAACGTCAGCAAATATTGTATCCACCATACCTTGAAATAAATGAAATCACATTTAACATTAATTCAACATAATAATAATAATAATAATTCTATCTGATGTGTAGGTTGCTTATGAAGATGTATCTCAGTATAAAATGGACTGGGTACACAAAGTCGTTACAACCATTTACTATCCGTTGCCCATCTGGGTGAACAGCCACTTTAAAGACTACCACCAAAGAGACAACGGGTTAAATATGAGCCATATCCATTTATTATTTAAAGCCACACCTACCCATTAGCATCCTGTATTTGTGTGGGTGTCTAGCGTCCTCAATGATTGGGATGATGTTTGTCCGTTTCTTAGCAACGTTGATTAGGTCCCGCCCACTTCTATGAGAGAACTCCACAGCATAGACAAGACCATCCTAGTTCAAATACATAAACTACACCTATAAACCAGACCCACTCACAGGTCCAACGATATCCGATACATGTGACACTGTAGTACCGGAGGCGGCTCCAAGGTACAGAACCTTTGAACCAGGACCTATGTGTATGTTATCAACTCCACCCAAAATGGCCGCCGCAAGTTTGCTCCGAAAAGGATTCCATACTCTGTACTCAACTTTATCAGTTGATCCTTCAACTCCCTATAAAGGAGAAGAGATAAAACAATATGGCGGATCAGTTGATGATTACAGATTCAACGCTAATCCTCTTTTCTCCGTAAATGGCTTCTCCAGGGACCATGTTCTTGGTAACAAGAGCGTCCTCTTTCCCACGGCATATAAACACTCCCTCGTGTCTGTGAGGCTCAATCACCACCTTCTTCCCTCCTCTCATTCCTCCTCCTCCTCTGCCTCTCCCTCGTCCTGGACTCTTAAACCCTTTATTAATAATATTTAATTAATTAATCGTAAGTTATTAATTGATGTTACCTCCTCTTCCTCCGCCCCCTCCTCCTCCCCTCCCTCCTCTAAATCCTCCTCTCCCTCCACCTCGTCCTCCCCTTCCTCCTCCTCTACCACCTCGTCCGCCACCTCTATCGTAACCTAAAAATTAAAAAAATTACATTAAAATCAGTATTATGAGATATCGTTAAAATATTTTAAAGTTAAATAAGCCTATAGATATGCAATAATACAGTAACCACAAAAACATTAAAATATAGAGAATACAGTCAATAATGAACACAAAATACATTACATTACAATGGCAGCTATAATGTGAATCACTCACTTGGCATGGTCTCTCAAGTGACAAGTGTGCTCACAATGTGTCACGTGGTTTCTGCGCATGCGCACTAGAGCAGCATCTTTGGTGGTTAAATGGCCGAACCTCTTCCTTCCCTCATAAACTGACCGCCATTTCTCCTCCTCTTCCTTCCTTCACTTGAATCACTTCATCTCCTCCTTGAGGCGAGTCGAGTCTGTCCTTCTTCCTTCTTGCCCCATCATTCCTCCTCCTACACTTTTGGTTCCTTCTGTGTGTTTAGCCACACACTAATCTCAGCACTGGTTTCTGCTCCTCACCAATTTGGCGCGCTAATATCCCCCAAACACACATTAAGGAGAAAGAGCTCTTGCTGTAGTCCTGGGAGACAGATAAAGAACCCTTTTGCCACCACAGAGGACTAGGGAGATTAAACAGGACTATATATTTAAATTGGTTCTCTTTCTATCTCTCCCTTTCTTGCTGTTCAGGAGCTTGCTTGGTTTGTTTTTGTGAAGAGAAGCCTCCTCTCCTCTCTCTTTGAAGGTAGGCTTTAAAAGGGTTGGAAGGGGTAGGTATTTGTGTTTAATGGTAGGTGATAAGTAGCGATACTGTATGACCAGTGTATGTGAGTAATTAGCAACTTATAACAAAATAAAATAAATCATTTCTCTCCCTCTCTCTCTCTCTCTTGGTATATTGCTGCAATCCTCTTCTCTCTCTCTTTTAATTATGTACATGTACATGTGTGGGTGTTGTGCCAGTTTTTGGTGGGGCTACTTATCTTACCAGAACAAGAGCTAATTGAAACTGTGGCAGGAACTATGAACAGTCTTTGTAGTGGGGGGACCATGCACTCCTGGCAGTGTATAACATACTGTTCATATATCTCTTTCTCTCTATGTTTTGTCTCCATGGTGGTGGTATTTATAATGTGGGGTAGAGATGAGGCATTGTGTGTGAGTGTGTGTGTTCATTTTGTTTTGTGATTCCTTTGGTTGTTTGTTAAACACACACTACCTCATGTCTCATTACAGCAAGACTGTATGTAAATATTTAAACTTGATCTCTCTCACTCTCTCTCCCTCCAGTTATGGCTCATTATTACCACACTAGATCTGGTGTCTATCATAAAAGAAGCCAAGATGTTATGGATGGCAGTAGCAGCGACTCTTCACTGCAACAGCATCATTCTCATTCTTCCTCTGATCCAAGACAACAACATGTCTCTGTTGTAAAGAAACTAACTGTGGACCTCATTAAGACTTATAGGACTATCAACGAGGTATTTATTTATTTATAAAATCACCTAAATATATTTATTTATATTTTAACTCATGTATTTTGAATGAACCAACTACTATGGACTAAAGGCCTTTAGTTATTGATATCCTGCCCACATTATTTGATTAAAAACTGGCACTAAATGATCCTGTCTTAGTGTCTTTATATTGTTAAATGTACTGGCCCATTTATAAAGAACACACACACACATTCCCTGTAGTATAGTAATATGTACTTGTACATGTACTCAGAAACTTGTACAGGGTAATTTCATGTGTCCTAAAAATGACTCCATCATTCTGCTGACACAAGATGAGAACTTTATTGTTATAATGTGTCCTAATGACTGTTTGATGAAAACACACAGTGAGAGGGCCATTATTCCACACTCTGTGTGTGTAATAGGATATGGTGCATGTCTATCACATGTGTATAATCTATTCCCCTGGTAGCAGCTGTTGGTATTGTTTGAATATCAGTTTTAATGATATTCATAGCCCTTTTACCATATTTGGTCAATATTTGTGTATCTGTCCTTGCATCACATGATCCATTCAATAGTGTGGGAGGCGGGATAGTATCAGCTGTTACTACAGTTATCAATACAGACAGTACTGCTAGTACATTATCACTAATAGTACTGAGAGCGCTAGTATACGCATATCTTTGTGATTGTTATCTTGGGGTTTTCTATTCCATATAGCGTGTATGCTAATGTGCTAGTGTTTATTTGGCTTTCTGACTGATCCTGTTTACTTATGAGTTGGCCTTTCCTTTCTATGTCTTAATATCTCTCTCTCTCCTCTCTCTCTCTCACACACACACACACTCTCTCTCTCTCCCCTTCTCCCTAGGTTTATTATAAAAAGAGGCGTATTTCTGACAGAACTGATCAGTCAAACGGGGCAGGTGCTAGTTCTAGTCGAAGGTCCATTAAATCTGAGCAGTACGATGATGAGAATCACGACTATAAAGTAAAGCCAGGAGAAAGATGGCTGGACAGATATGAAATAGACTCACTTATTGGTAAAGGATCTTTTGGACAGGTGAGGGCGTTCAAATAATACATTAATATTAATAAATAGTTATTAATAATTAATATTTTGTTATTAATAGTTAGTTTATTAATAGTTATTCATATTGTTTTTTTAGGTCGTTAAAGCTTTTGATCTAGAAGAGAGAGAGTGGGTAGCCATTAAAGTAATAAAGAACAAGAGAGCGTTTTACCAGCAGGCCCTGATAGAGAAAAGATTACTGGAGCTACTAAACAGCAGGGACCCCGAGGGGAAATATTATATAGGTAAGGGAGTCACTTTTTACCCATTACCCAGTCAAATTTTATGGGCTCCACCATCAAAATTACAAATATTTTATTGTTAGTAGTAGTAACACACACACACACATGTATTATTATCATTGAGTTACTTTCACTTTCTGTTTATATTATTCAACTATCCTTGTCTGTTTTTAGTTTCCCTCAAAAGATCTTTCACTTTCAGAGGCCATCTTTGTTTTGTTTTCGAACTTCTCTCCTACAATCTCTATGAATTATTGCGCAATACTAACTTCAGGGGCGTGTCACTCAATCTGACTCGGAAGTTTGCTCAGCAGCTGTGCACTGCCCTCCTCTTTCTCTCGACTCATGATATCAACGTGATTCATTGTGATCTTAAACCTGAGAATATCCTCCTCTGCAATCCTAAGAGAAGTGCCATTAGGATCGTGGACTTTGGTAGCTCTTGTCAAGTCGGAAGCAGAGTATGTCATTATTAATAATTATTAACATATTTATTATCCTTGTTATTTAAATATGTTTTATTAAACTATTTCTTCATTAATTTTTGCTAAATATTACACTTCTTTAAATATGATGGAGTTACTCTTGTGTTAAGTTATTTATTGTCATTTAGTCTGTGTATTAAATACTGTACATGTAAAAGTATGTGTATAGTATCAAGTAGACTGTGTATCATGTGGTATTTATGGGCAGTAGAGGATGTCATTGTGTGTTTTGTGTAGTTTGTAAACATTAATAAGCTTTTACAGTATAAGGAGTAACACCTGTTGTTACTGCTCCATCACTTAACGATGACCTCACTACATGTAGTATGTAGTATATGTATCCACATTTAGTATGTATGATAGGTATAATATATGTATTATGTGTATTGACTGCAGTGTGTGTCAGTCTCCTACACTTTATGTGTGTGTGTCTATTAATGACTGCCTTTGATCTTCTTTCACTCCTACTCCCTCCCTCTCTCTCTCTCTCTCTCCCTCTCTCTCTCTCTCTCCCTCTCTCTCATTAGATGTTCCAGTACATTCAGAGTCGGTTCTATAGATCCCCTGAGGTCCTGTTAGGGATACCCTATGACCTAGCTATAGACATGTGGAGTTTAGGTTGTATATTAGTTGAGATGCACACTGGGGAGCCTCTCTTCAGTGGGAAGGATGAGGTGAGACTATTGCATGTATATGTGTCTGGAAATGTAATTAGAATGGAGAATTCTCACCTTTTTATTTTTGGCAAAATTTGGCCAAAGTCCCTGTACTATAGTACAGGGACTTTGACCCGATTTTAGAGCAACTTTAAAGGTTCGTAAAAAATCCAAATTTGATCAGAATCAGCTCAAACTTTCTACAAAACTTAAGAACATGTATATGTACCAGAAAACATTATAAAAATGGAGAATTTTCTCCTTTTCATTTTTGGTGAAATTTGGCCAAAGACCCTGTACTATAGTACAGGGACTTTGACCTGATTTTGGAGCAACTTTAAAAATTTGTAAAAAATTCAATTTTGATTGGAATCTGTTCAAACTTGAAACACAACATAAGAACATGTATATGTATTAGGAAATGTAATAAAATTGACGAATTTTCTCCTTTTCATTTTTGGTGAAATTCGGCCAAAATCCCTGTACTATAGTACAGGGACTTTGACCCGATTTTGGAGCAACTTCAAAAAATTTGTAAAAAAAATTCAATTTTGATCAGAATCAGCTGAAACTTTCTACACAACTTAAGAACATGTATATGTATCAGAAAACATTATAAAAACAAAAAAAATTATCAGGGCCATTTTTGTCAACAAAACCTGTACTGTAGTACAAGATGATATACAGTACATAACATTATTATTATAAAGGTATAATATGATCATTATTGCATTCTTCATTATGTACCTACAGATTGATCAGATGAGTAAGATTGTTGAGGTCCTCGGTATTCCTCCTCCTCACGTACTGGAGCGCTCAGCAAGACGGGACAGGTTCTTTGAACGAGAGTCTGGAGGTACCTGGGTACTGAAGAGACAGAGGGACGGCCGAAAAGTAAATACGATGACTATTTTAGATGTGTATAATTTTAATTTAAATTTTAAATGCTTGGATTGTTTTAAATTTTAAATTTAATTTTAGGATCACCACAGGCGTCCTGGCAGTCGTTCCTTATACGAAATACTGGGAGGGGACAAGGGAGGACCAGGGGGGCTGAGGAAAGGAGACTCTGGCCACACCCCCAATGACTATTATAAGTTTCGTGATCTAGTCCTCCAAATGTTGGACTATGACCCTGAGACTCGGATAAAACCTCTCGCTGCTCTTAAGCACCCGTTCTTCCGTAAAGAAGCTCGTTTATCCCAATCCTCTGAAAATGGCAGTCAATATTCATCGACCACACCCACCCAGACTATCGGACTGACCTCCTCATCCTCTCAACCAATAGACTCCTTCGTCATATCACAGGAGATAGTTGCCATGGAAACAAACCACACCCACCCACCCCCAGGGCTGGGAGAGCTGATACCAGGCCGACACATTCACCTTCAAAACCTCTCACCTCCAGAGACTCACGACACTTCCTTATATGGAGGTAATAACGGCAGAGGTGTCGTTGGGTCTAGCGGTACACTGGGCAGTGGTACTTTTAGTAACAGTGGGTCGTTTGGGTCAGCTATGGACATTGGTCAACCACAGCAACCAGTAGCCATGACAATGGAGGCTAGCTCATCTCTTCATCAGGTAACGGGTAGCCATAGACCTCACTCAGGGAGGAAAGGGGAAGGAGGAGAGAGAAAGCGAGGTCCCTCTCCTAATGCGTCACTCCATAATGGAGGAGGAGTTCAAGTGTTTTATGGAACTAACTCTCTCTTCCCTCAATCCTCTGATAGTAACTTCTCCTTTCAAATGAGTCCCTCCTCCTCCTCTAAAGGGGGAGGGGCTCATGTTCCTCATCATGTGACCGAGAGGGAGGGTGTTCGTACCAGGAGTGGAGCTGGGTCTAATAGCAGGAACCAAAAGTCTTATAGACACCATCATCATCATCATCACCATCGGAGGACACACCCCTCAGAGGGAGGGGCTAGTGGTAGTCATGATGACCAGGGAGGATCTATGGTTGGTGTGACAGTACATCAGTGATTAATTTAGTTGTTGTTATTATTATTATTATATTTATTCTCTTACAATATATATATCTATACTAATCCTTTTCTATATCATATACTATATACATTCTCTCTCTCTCTCTTAAAATCATTCTTCATGCCTTTTTTATTATTTTGATCATTAACCAACTACTACTGATAATTGGTGAAAGAATTACATATTTAGCTAGTCATTGGTCATTCTACAAAGCAAATGACCATTATTGTGTAAAAATGAGCAAATAGTGCCTCTTTGATGTTCATTCATGATTTCTTAGAGTTACATGGGAATGGACTTCCTTTGAATGTCAGTAATTCTTTCTTATCAATTATTAGCACTTCATTATTAGCATCAAAGTATTCTCTTGTGAGAAGGAGTTCCCTTTAATGATATTTATTACAAGTCATGATTCTGTTCTTGTTTTTTGAAGATTAACATTTCTTTACAGTCTGTCTTCTGCTTGCAGTAAGTATGGCTACAGAGGACACTCCGTTATATTTTCATGATGGAGACATCATTCAACTTTACTGTCCACTTGAGTCTGGCTATGTGTACAGTGAACCTAACAGGTAAGTGTAATACCTGCTCATAATTAAAGTAATAATAATCATAGTACTTCTGACCTTGATTTGAGCATTGTTTCAAAAGAAAAGATCAAAGTTGCTGACTGTAAGAATTTTAATTTATTTTGACTCAGCTATTTATAGAAAATTTACTATATACATAGTTGCTGCATTTAGTATTACTCTTAAAAAGGAATCAGAAAATAAAGAAAAACACAGTTCAAGCAAAGAGAAAGCTAAAAGTGAAGAGACAGAAAAGATTGCTTATGGCAGTGTTATCTGTGTTAGTTGTTATGATCTTATTCATTAAACACTGCAATAATTATGGCATATAGGTGAAGCATCAAGCTTCTGATAAATTTTTGATAGCAAATGACGAAAATGTAAGTTCTATCTAAATTCTTTGTTGTGCCTGGTGATGGTAATTATTTGTATTTGTAGGAAGTGAAGCTATCATCATCTGATGATGCTAAAAGTTTGTTTAGAGTTGTTTCTCCTAACCACGAGTTAGAATGGGGTAATCTAGTAAGTGTGTATGTATATTTGCATGTAATTGTATACATCTGATTTATATTCATTTTTATAGCTAAAAGATAATGATCCAATAAAGCTTGAGTGTAATAGATCTAGTTTATTTGTGAATTTTAATTATGTACAAAAAAGAAAATGGTATGTAAAGAAACATACACTTATTTTCATGACATAATGCTTACAGCTATAAACCAACATTAAAAGCAAATGGAACTGTTTTTGATGTCCAAATGTATTGTCATAAACAGAATTCAAAAAGTATAAAGGTACTAATTGTTATGTAGACTAGTAATAATTGTAATCATATAGGGGGGCAGTCCAATCATTATATCTACTCTTCTGAATATTGAGGGATATCTGTGTGCTACAGGATCATTTTTTAGTAGCAAAATTGATGAGATTGAGAGTACCAGGCCTCTTGAAGAACCAAGTGCTTCTTATGGCCGCTCACTTGAAGAACCAACTGAACAACAGAGTGGGATAGAACAACAGAGCAGGATAGAACAACCTGATGAACAACCAAAGTACTCATTAACTAAAGAGGGTCATGGCAAGGAAGGGATGAAAGGTAATTGGCTAGCAAGCAGAAATAATTCACTAAAAGGTTGAGTTTAATCATCTTTTCTTACAATAGTTGATTTATGCAAATTCATGGAAGGATCATTTAAGAAGTTACCAGAATATGGTGATGCATTCTTTCAGCTAGAGAGAGTCTCTGGACCATTTGGTATAGCTATTACTAAAATTCTTTTATTTCTATGGCAACCTCGTGCATGTAGGTTCTCCAATTCTGTTTGGAGAGGAATGTCGAATTAAACAGTTGTTCAGCTTCAAGTATTTAGCTATCAAATCTAGCCCTGCCCAAAAGGTTGTTACCATTAATGTATTATGTGATTGTTTATTGGTCTTGTTCAATTCATAGGTTGTTCTTTGTGATTTTAATGAAGAAAATGAATCAAATGTGATTTTTAAAGTCTTGTCAGTTTCTGGGTCAATAGACCATGAGGTACTTGCATAAGAAAATTATTTATAAGTGTGATATTTCTTAGGAAGTATGTGATTTTGATAAAGTTACTTTTCAACATGTAAAAAGTTCAAAGTATTTATCTGTCGATTGTAAGTAATTACAGATTATATAGTAATAATGTTTAATATTACAGTGAGAATACGACATGGGCAAGGCAAACGTTTTGATGTAAGTTTTGTAAGCAATAAATTTTACCTTTTTTCTAAAGCTTACTGCTAATGAAGACTCGGGTGTGTTGCAAAGCCAATTTAAAGTGTTACAGGTCATTAATATTGTTGTTACAATAAACATAATTGATAAGTATAGGTTAAGAAGTATCTTTTGATGGATAGCTACTATGCTTTAGGGCTCAGCTCATTCTTGTATGACTCCTACATAATGTATGTAGCTAAAGTTTTGGTGATCACATCTTAACATATGACATATTTACTTAGGTTGCAAGACAAAGGCGAAACCTTAGTACCCATGTGTGTAATTCAAAACGAAATAGAAAAAAAGATGATTTAGTTAGAGGAGAAACAATGTAGAACTAGCTTTATATTCATGCTAAGAGTATAAAAGCTTTATTGCCGATTTTATTTTGAAAAGTTTTATTTCTAGAATTTGGGTGTTGTCATAAAAGAACTACTAGTAAAAAAGCAAGTTAAAAATCACCGGTATATAAATTAAATTATGTATACATAAATTAAATTATGTATACATAATTTACATGACATTTATTTTATGCCATAGTAAATGTTTTTATCTTTGTGTTACAAAAGTTTCTCAAGAAGAAGTGGTATGTAATTATAGTTATATGATCATCAATTTCTATACATGTACATAGGATAGTGAACCAACACAAACTATTGACCCGCACATTCAAAGTTTGCCTATAATATATGACCCAGTACAATCATATTAATGTGTAGAGAAAATATATGAAAAATCATTGGAACAGTCAGACACAGAAAAAGCCCCTACAATTCTTGTGGAACAATTTCATGACCTGAAGAATGCCTTTATGATTGATGCTAAACAATTATTGATGAAAGATGGTACAATTAATATTTTGAATAGTTATTATTTCAAAAGTAGGTAAATTTGAAAATGGCATTCAAAATATTATTGAGTGCCTTAAAAAGTATGCCAATAGAAGGCCAGCTAATGCTAATGAGCCTAGACCTGATCAAGTTTCTATTGACATGACTCATGGTGATGAGAATCAAAATAATGTGAATGACACTGATGTTTCTATAGGTCATAGGGATCCAACTGATTCTGAAGTGCATCAATTGCTATTACTACTTCATTTGCTTTTTACAAAGTACAAAGCTTTACCTGTGAATTCGAATGTAAGTACCAGAGCATATTTGCATTTTTAAGTTGTATTTTTAGAATCAAAGTTCAACCAGTAAATCTACTGGCACAAAGTAATCAGTAATTCAGTATGCATAAGTGCTGCCTATTTCTGTTTCAGCTTCCATAGCATGATTGTGATTATACTTCAAAATTTTTGTTTCCATAGTAATGAAATTGAGCTAACAGGATTCTGGTCACGTGGCCAGACTAGAGTACATGCATCTTCACACAAGACTTCTAAATGTCAC